TAGTGAGAGACAATTTAATTCTAAGAAATCTCAGAGAACCAAGTTTCTAAGCTAGAGCACATCTAGCGCGAATTACAAGCTAAACAAACTATGAACGAAGTATGTGGTTATATATTGTTTTGTTTATACAATGACAGACATCAGCTTTAATTTTTTTTTTCCTATTAGGCTAAGGAATCAGTGACTCCAGAAAGATTTAATGACATAAGAAACCTAACTTGAAACCCAACTGAAAAGAATCCTACTTGCCTTCATTCAAAATATGCTTTCTAGAATCTGCCTCACTCAAAGTAACTAGAAAGTTCCATAAGTAATTGCAGTTTTCAATATCTACAGGAGCAACTGCATTCTTCAGAGAATAGATAGGCAAAAGATACATTTAAGAAGCCATCCCCAAACACCAGTTTTATAGAAGTAATACCAATATATAAATCAGAGCATGCATTAGAAAACTTCGATGAAATAGAAAGACAAATATAAAGAGAGAAGTAATATGTGAAATCACATAACCAACAAAGGATTAATATTCATAATATAGTTTAGGATTTTCCACAAATTAATAAGTAAAATATAAGCAAGCCAAGAGAAAAATCAGCATAAGATTAATAGGCAGTTTGCAGAAAATAAAACTGAAGTGTTCACTGAGCACATGTGAAAAGATATTCAAACATACCAATATTAAAATAGTGTTCTCGCAAAAAAAAAAAAACTTTTAAAACTGACTCCTTACCTGAAAAAACTTGAAAAATAATAAAGTTACTTACACCTTTACTATAAAAAGTTATTGTAAAGAGTGAAATATTTTATGTATATAAAAGTGATGTTCAAATGTAAAGAAAACATTTGAAAATTCTCAAAGCCAACAGTTAACGTGAAATTAAATGAACATATTTTCCCATTTATTGTCATTTTAAACCTATGGAAACGGACATTAGAAAACAAAGTAGACACATATCTCTTCTTACCGGGTCTATTAGCTGGGAATAGAGTTCATGGCAATTGTCAAAAATGTACTTGTACGTAGAATCCAGGCAAGCTCTGACACAGTCCTTTACCACCATGCTGGCCTTTGGTGGGCTTTGTAGTTCCAGAACCTGATGGGCAAATTATTTGCTTAAATTCAAAAGTAGAACATTGTAATCCAGTGTAAACAAGTCAAACAATACTCAATAAATGCTTTTAGTTGATTTTTCTATGTTCAGGAAAAATGTGGTCTTAGAAATGTTTTAAAAGTGTAAATATCCACTTTAAGTTTCTATTATGACAACTCAGTGAAAATGATCATAGTTGTAAATACTCGAACAGAAAAACTTAAAGTGACCAATCATATCATTCATTCATTTATTCCAGTCATTCAACAAATATTTATCACCTATTATATACCAGACAATGATGATACTGCAATGAACAATAGAACTAAAAATCTATTTCCTCGTGGATCTAACTTCTAGTAGATAATAAATCAGTCAAATATATTATATGATGATATATGTTGAAAACAAAAATAAAACAGAGAAGAGGGGATAGCAGGTAGTGGAAGAGAATTAACACAGAAGATGGCAATAGTATATGAACTCAGAGAAGTAGGAGGATGGGCCAGATGGAAAGATTTCATATATGCTATTGTAAGAACCTTAGCTTTGAGCATGGTGGGCAGAAATCAAACTGAGCAGAAGAGCAAAATGACCTTATCTTTTAAAAATCTCTCTTATGCTGCCTTAAGGTGGGCTATGGGAAAAATGAAAAGACCAATAATGAGAATAGCGCCATAATCCAGTCAAGAAAAGACAGTGCTTAGACTATAGTGGTAACCTAGGAGCTGTTGTAAGAAACCATATTCTGACGATTTTGAAAGGAAGAGCTAACAGGATTTGCTGACTGACTATGATTGGTGTGTGAGAGAGAGGAATCAGGACTCCAAGGTTTTAGCTTGAGTTACTTGTACAGTAGAGTTGGCCAAAACTTAGGTCAGCAAGGCTGTGCTTGAGAGAGCGCAAGCTCAGTTTTGGACAGGTTAAGGTTGAGAAGATTGTTATACATACAAATAGATTTCAAGTAGAAATCTGGGTAAATAAGTCTGGAGTAATGGAGATGTTTGGGCTAGAGAGATAAATTTGGAAACTATTAGCTTAGAGAAGAATTTTAAAGAAACAAGACTAGATGAGCATGGTTAGAAAAGAGAATAGGTCCAAGAAATAAACCTGGGTAATTCCAGCCCTATGACATCAGGCAATTGAGAAAGAACAAAGCAGTGAAGACCATAAAAAATCAATGAAAACTGGAAAAAAGCAGCCAGTGAGATAGGAGGAAAACTAAGCAAGAGGGGTGTCCTGGAAATCTATAGAAGAAAGAATTTCCTGGGGGAAAAATTGATGAAATATATTAAGTGATACTGAACACTGTAAAATGAGGACTGATAACTGACCACTAGATTTAGCAAAATAATGGTTGGTGATTTTGACAAGATCATTTTTGTGAAGTGATGGGGTAAAAGTCTGATTAGACTTTATCAAAAAATAAGGGCAAATTTGAAAATCTAATACTGTTAAAATTTCAGTCTCTCCAGATTGATCTGTAGATTTAATGCAATTCCAATCAAAATTCCAACAAGAACTAACATCATCTAAACAATTCTGAAAAAGAAAAAAGGTGGAAGACTCATACTATCTAATTTTTCAATTTGCCATAAGGCTGCAGTAATAAAGACAGTATGGTAATGGTGAAAGTTTATACAATCGAACAGTATAGTGTTCAGAAATAGAGCTAAATATGGCTAACTGATTTTTTTTTTTTACAATGATGTAAATGCAATTCAATGGATAAAAGATAATTTTTTTCAATAAATAGTGTTAGAATGATTAAACATGCATATGCAAAAAAAAAAATCCTTGACTCATTTTTCACAGCTTATTTAAAAAAAAAACTCTCAAAATGGAACACTGGACTAAATATAAAAAGGTGAAATAGAACTTTTAGAAGAAACACAGGAAAATCTTTTTGTGAACTTGCTTTCACCAGAAGGACTATCCATAATTAGAAAAATTGATAAAGTAGGTTTCAACAAAATTAAAAACATTTGCTATACAAAAGATACTGTTAGAGAATGAAAAGACAAAGAACAGACATGGAGAAAATATTAGCAAATAAAGTGCCCGACAAAATTGGGTAAAATATTTCAACAGATTGTTCATAAAAGAAACTTAGATGGCAAATCAAATCTAGAAAAAATAATCTATTAATTAATAGAGAAAATTAAGATCACAATAGGATATTTTAGAATGGCTAAAAAATTAATTAAAAGCATGGAAAATGTCAAGAGTCTCACTAAAAGGTGCAGAGCAACTGGAATTGGAATTTTCATATGTTGCTGCTGAGGATGCAAAATTATACAACTGTTGAAAAAACAATTTGGCATTTCTTGTAAAGTAAAATGTATGCTTACCAAATGACCCAGGAACCTCACTCTTAGGTATTTACCCTAGGAAAGTGAAAACTACACTAAAAAATACATATATGTGAATATTTTTAACAGTTTTGTTATAGCTCCAAACTGGAAACAATGCAAATGCCCATAGTACATACACAATATTAAAAGGAATAAATTGTCAGCATACTCAACAAGATGGACGAAGAGCCAAGGTGTTATGTTACATGGCATATTATTTAATTTACATGATGTTCTTCTGGAAAAGGTAAAACTATAGTAGACAACAACAGACTAGTGGTTGCCAGGGAATGGAAGAGGCGTTGACAGTAAAGGAGCAGCACAAGGGAATTCTAGAGGCTTACGAAACTGTTCTGTGTGTTGACTGTAGTCAAAATTAGCAGATCTGTATAACGAAAAGTGAATTTGTCTGTAGTAAAAAAAAAAAAAAAAAAAAATGGTAAGAGGAAATTTGTTCAAAACCTAACGGGAGTAAAGAAATTGAAAAGAAAATGTAAAGAGGACTTTTGAGGAGTTTTGGTGTTAAAAGTAAAGAGGAATTAGGACAGCAGCTGTAGAAGAAGGTAGAGTCAATAAACATTTTTAAGATTGGAAGATTAATAGCTTGTTTCTTGATGGAGAATGTCCAGTAGAGAAGGAAAATTTGATAATTCAGGCAAGTGAAGAGGATTGCTGAACCTATGTTTTAGTACTCAAGGAAGGATAAAATCAATTGTACAAGTGGAAAAGATGGCCTTTTCTAGAGATAGCCTTTTCTAGAACAGAATCAATAGTAATAAAAAGAAGGAAGAGTATATGGACACAGATATAGGTAAGTAGGTAGATGGAGTGGGTGGTGGGAGCTTGGGGTTGGAGCTTGAGGAAGCTCTCTATCTTTGCTCTTGTTTTTTCAGTGAAATAGAAAACAAGGTCATCAGCTGGTACTCAGGATGGGGGAAGAAGAGTTGCAAGTTTGAGGAGATTTTATTTTCTAAACACTGCAAGGCTGGTGACTAAGGAATTGTAAATTAGATATATGACACTTAGGCTAAGCTATCTAGCCTCACTCCCATTTCTCCACCCTCTCAGGAACAATGGCAGGAATCATTTGTCAGCTTGTAAACTTTTCCACTGAATCTGGACTGGGTCTCACTATCATTTTCCACACACAGTTCCAAGAGCTACTGCCGGTAGAACAAAATTGACATAAATTCTATTTATTCCAGTCACTCAATTTAATTGTGATTTTAAACCAAATAAGTTTTAATTGAACTTGAAAGAATCTAAATGATTGTTGGCATAGTATAATTTTGTTTCCTCTCATGTTATAAAGTACCATTTTTAGTGCTTCTAGTGTAAACAATCATGAAAAAAATAAAAAGAAAATATTATTTCTAAATAAACATCATAAAACTCTCTTTCCAGGAGCAAAAATATTTAGTCAATAGCCTGCCCAGTAGTTTTAGAAAAACTTTACACGAACTGTTCTGCTAGCCAAACTATGATTGCAGAGAACTTGCTATTAAAGTAGAGGAGATACACCTAAAAAGAAATGCCTGCATAGTTTGGTACATAATAGTTAAAAATGTTAATGAATTAAGCCATCAAATATAGTCTTATGTAGACATTGCCAGCACTAAAAACAGAAGTGGCCACAACTGGGGTAAATTTAAGAATTAGCTACTCTCCTGTGAGGAAAAAGTCAGCAAGATATCTGAGTTAAAACTGAAATGAGAAGTAAACTCCATTTCCATTTAACATTGTTAACTACTTTTTTTTTTTTAAGTACCATGTCCACTTACTTGAGAGCTTTAAGATGGATTTAATTTAAAACTAAATTTGAGCCAAATGTATCAGAATATTTTGTTTCTAGGATAATTCTTTTTCAACACACCATATATAGGAAGATTCATTTAATTTAGGCAAAGGCACCAAGCTTAATTGATAAAGTTGAACAGTACTGTTCGAGAGAAAGGTGAAGCCTAAAAAGCTTTTGTATAGCAAAGGAAACCATCAACCAAACGAAAAGGCAACCTGCCAAATGGGAGAAGATATTGGCAAATGATTTATCTAATAAAGGGATAATATCCAAACTATATAAAAATTCATAACTAAATACAAAAATAAATAATCCAATTAAAAAATGGACAGAGGACCTAAATAGACTTTTTACCAATGAAGACATATAGATGGCTAACAGGCACATGAAAAGATGCTCAACGTCACTAATCATCCGGGACATGCAAATCAAAACCACAATGAGATGTCCCTCCACATCTGTTATAATGGGTATTATCAAAAAGCCAAAAAAAAAAAAAAAAATGTTGGTGTAAGAAAGAACACTTGTACTCTGTTGGTGGGAATGTAAACAGGCTTAGCCATCATGGAAAATAGTATCGATGTTCCTCAAAAATTAAAAATAGAACTACCATATGACTCAGTGATCTCACTTCTGGATATTCATCTGAGGAAAACAAAAACACCAATTCAAAAAGATATATACACTCCAATGTTTGTTGCAGCATCATTTACAATAGCCAAGATATGGAAGAAACCTATGTGTCCACTGATAAATGAAGAAAATGTCACAGAGAGAGAGAGTGAGAGTGAGAGAAAGAGAAAGAGAGGGTGGGAGGCAGCAGGGAAGGAGGAAGGTAGGGAGGGAGGAATATTACTCAGCCATAAAAAAAGAATGACATCTTTCCATTTGCAACAATATAGATGGACCTAGAGGGTATTATGCGAAGTGAACTAAGTCAGACAGAGAAAGACAAATACCATATAATTGCTCTTATGTGAAGTCTAAAGAACAAATAAAATGAACTACCAAAACAAAACAGAAATAGACTCATAGATACAGAGAACAAACTGGTGGTTGCCAGAAGAACAGGGGTAAGGGAATGGGTAAAATGGGTAAAGGGAATTAAGGAAGGTAAACTTCCAATTTTAAGATAAATAAGTCATGGGGCGGTGTGTAATGAACAGTGTAGAGCAGTGGTCCCCAAACTTTGTGGCACCCAGGACCAGTGCTCCTATGAGAATCTAATGCCTGATGATCTGAGGTGGAGCTGAGGCGGTGATGCTAGCGCTGGGGAGCGGCTGAAAATACAGAGGTAGCTTCACTCTCTTGCCAGCTGCTCACCTCCTGCTGTGCAGCATGATTCCCAATAGGCCACAGACTGGTACCAGTCTGCAGCCCAGGGGTCGGGATCCCCTGGTATAGAGAATATAATCAATAATACTATAATAACTGTAGGGTGACAGAAGGAAACTAGACTTATCATGATGATTACTTTGTAATGTATATTAATATCGAATCACTATGCTGTATATCTGAAACTAATGTAATATTGTAAGTCATTTACCCTTCCATAAAGAAAAAAAAAAAAGAAGCGTAAAACTACACTTTACCAGGAAAGAAATGTGTTATGTCACACCAAGACAATGACAGAAATAAAATAAAGTACCTTCATCCTAAAAAAGGTGATACTTGTTAGCAGATCAACAGTTGATTTCAGGTCTTGCAGTCTTTCAGCATTGCTAGCAGGAAAGTTTTCCTGGGTAATTAGGAAACAGAAAATGGGTAAATTATTAGCATTAAGTCTCCAGTGAAAAAATAAACTAAAACTAGCTTTATGTGAAAGAAAATGAGAAGTAAACTATAAAAATTAAAAAAATATCTCTATGGTATTCTTACTATATTTTTATCATAAAACAGTACAGAAAGTAAACAATTTGGAAACACGCTCTTCTTAGTCTTAGAAAGCTATATTCTATTTATTTCCACAATGCAATAAAAATATACAAAACAATGTTATTAAGGCAATGTTATTAGGTTATTCATCTTTGTTCATAAAATGGTTTTGCCACTAAAAGAGAGGAAGACAGCATATATTTGAAAATATTGTTTATAGTTTTCTCAAGATGGGTAATTTTTTTCAAAAACACTTTGAGAAGTTTTATATGTGCTACATTTACTTTGAATCCAAAATACACTTTTTAAAGGTAAAAAATTAGACTGCATTGCATAGTGTCTCTCTGAAGTACTGTGGATTTTGACAAAAGGTTTCTGTTAATGAGATTTGGTGACAAATGTCATATGAAAATGCAGATGTTTTGAATTTTGGAAGAAAAAGGAAAAGGTATAATTATGAAACTGTTGGTCTAAGAAACAATTTTAACATTGGGAAATTTCTCATATTAACATGCTTTTGGATTGGCTTTTTAAAGAGCTACTGGGGAAACCACAGGTAACTTTTAGCTATTCATGAGTTAGAGCAGAGTTGAGTGCCTAAATGACAGCAAATGAGGTAAACTCAAGGCCCATCTTGCCTTTCAGTAACTCTTTCATTGGATGGCATAGTGGTTCTCTTCTTGTAGTGTTGGCTTCAGTTCTAATATGAAAGATGAGTTTGACAAAAGTTGGTATTATAATTTCCAGAAACATGCAATTAAGATATCCATCAATAAGACACTAAAAAAATGAATACAGGAGAAATATCTACGTGCAGATATAAAAAGATGTTCAGGATAAACTGTTAAAGAATACAATAGTTATTGCTATAATTTTGTTTGTAATTTAAATTTGTACCTAATTTTTTGTAACTATTTTATGACTAAAATTATATGTGTGTATTTACACTTACACACACGTGTGAATATTTGTGTGTGCGTGCATTTGTGTATGTTTCACCTGGAGGTGAAGTACAGAATTGCTGACAATGAACTCTCGGTGGACAGCTTTAAAAAAGCACATTCTACTGATCTAGAATGAGTGTGTTAAGCAGTAAATCCAAGTAGGAATCTCAAAAGCTGCAGAAATATCAGGATATCTCAGTTACGAAGGATGAGCTTTCAAGATTAGGACTGGGCCACATGTCTACTTCATAAATTAGCTGAGGGCCACTCAACCTGATGGTTATTAAAATAATTATAAAAATTAAGCTACACACATATACACATACACACAGTACTGTTGTAGGCTTATGTGTGGCAAGGTACGTAAACAAGGGACATCTGCTTGCTTACTTAGGGGACCCTTGTAGTGACCCTAAGTAAGCAAGCAGACACTAAGTAGGACTCAATATCCCGTAATCAGAATTTTTAATTTTCTATTACATAGTGAATAATTTTTTATACTATGACAAGAAATCTGAGCCAAACACAACATTTTACAATATTCAGGCAAATAATTTTGCACATACCCTATACTTTGACAGGTCAATCCTTAAAGAGTTGTGCAACTGGTCCAGTAGTTTTATAAATTTTTCTCTCTGTACAAAGAAAATACAAAATTGGTGAATGTAAATAAATGGTCATTCTAAATGTAATCTTTACAAAATTTTATGAGTTATTGTCCCCATTTTATAGAAAAGAAGATTCAAATATATCAATGACTTGTCCAAGATCATAAAGCTAGTGTGACATAGCAGTAATTTGAACTCAGTCCTCTTCGACACCAAATTCACACTCTTT